CTCTGAAAGTTATTACTCTCATTACTGCTCATTAAGGACAGGGAAGGGTTGCTGCTGGCTTTGAGTAAAGGATGGGCTACTGCAGTTCATCCCGTTGCGGTGTCGTCTGCTCCTTAGGGTGCAAAGAAGCACCAGCAGCATTTCAGGGTGCACGCTGAACTGGTGGCCTGGCTAATATCCAGACACAGGCATGAAGCTGACAACCCAGCAGGGACTTGAGTTATCAGCCCCCCATGGCCCCTGAGCCCTCAGCTGTTTCCAGGAATGAGTGGTGGGAGTGCTCAGGGGAATATATGTGCGCTTATGGACACAGGTGGTCACCTGCTTCCTTCCACAGTTAAATCATTTATACCCCAGAGGAGGGGGGTTAGTGTTAGTGCAATTCCCAGCAGCAGCTTCAGAAATCTGAAGATTATACCAGGGATGAATCCAGTTAATGCAAAGTGGGTAAAACACAATTTACATCCTCAGAGAGGGGTATGCAACACAGGTGTGCAGTATCTTTGGGCAGGTTTAACTTTTATTAAAGCCCAGGAATGAAGAAGCTGTTGCAGGCATCCTGTAGCAGGGTGTCACGTGGCAGGACAGCCTGCTCGGCAGGTTTGCTGGGGGGTTGACCTTTGAGATGCAGGAGAAACATTTCCTCTTTGAACTGCTCTGCAGAGATAATGAATTTTGTAATGGATTTCCTGTTCTTTTTATAGAACAAGGGAAGCTGGCAGATCGCATCTAAGCTTGCTTTAATGAGGACCAGACGTAATTATATTTGCTGAATAATTTTCTTAAAACATGGTTTTCTCTGGTTTGATCCAAAGCATCACACCAGGATTCAAACAGGCTTCAGCGTGAGTAGAAGGGAATATTGGGGAGCAGTCAAACAGTGCTTTGTGAGTGCATGGGAATGACCTGAAGACATGAACTGCCCTATGGTCAGATCAAAGGTCCCTCTAGCCCAGTGCTGTCTCCAGCAGTGGCAGGAGGAGACAGCACATGAGCCCAGCCCTTGCTGCCATCTGATCCCCATGGAATCTAAGATCCCCAACATCCACCACTGTTATGTTACAGAAGTTAGAGGGCACATCTCGCTCTGTTGCTTCTGCTGTCTCTTTTTTGATCTGTTGTCCATCAAGCCCTTTTGAACCCAAGGATACCCCCTGCATCTGCAGCCTCCCTTGTCAGTGGGATGTAGAATTTCACCGGTCCCACAGCACAAAGGCAGGATTTCACTTTTCAGCAGCCCTGCACACTTTTGCTGGGCCACAGTAGGGCATACACTTTATGTCAGCTCCTAATGAAACCCTTGTGAGCAGCCTCCAGGATACCCTGCATCTGTTTCCCTAAGTTGCTCTAGTTGAGCCTCTCTCACTTCAGGAGAATGGTGCATTTCCCAGTGCTGGGAGGTCTTTGCATTGCATGTGGAAATGCAAAATCCACCCAACTTCCTGGCAGTAAGCAGGCATTTATACCCTGTGCAACAAAGTGGAGAGTTCCCACTCTGTTGCTGGACTTCCATTTGCATGTTGATCTTCAAGCTGTTAATCTAGCTTTCCCTTCAGTTAACTGTCCCCCTACAGATCTGGGCAGCAAATGGCAAGAACCACCTGATAAATCCCCCTCCTCCTCTCAGCAAGCTTTGCTGATCCATGGGCTATTGCCTTTACCCTGACCTGGGCATGCTCCATCCTCTTGCCAGGCACTTTCCCGTGCCACCCATGTGCTCCTCACACTTCAACAGAAGTGTCCACTGAGTACATGTGCACACCTGAGACCTTCACCCAGGGCACATGGCCATCGCCCGTGGCTGCAGCACCAGTCCCACTCTTCCCCCTCCCAATGTCCTGAGTGAGCCCCTGCATGGTGGCCCCTGGATACCACACCATCATCTATCTCAAACACCTTATAATGCAGCCTCCCCTCTCTACCAGCAGGCACAAAACAATGGACATGAGACCAGAGCAGCAATGGGAAAGTCCTTTGGGAAAGTTTTGCTTTAATTAAACCTAATATTCTTGTTATAAATGACCAGTCTGGAATCCCATTAGATTCTTGGTCTCAGTGACTTCTTATCATATTTACATTTCATTGACCATCTCCTTATCCTTGGTCGTGAGACATGGAGAGCAGGACCCCTGCTCCCTCTCTCCAGGCCATTTGGTACTTCTAGTCCTCCTGTTGCATCCCTTTGGACAGCAAGCCTGGGCTGAGCAGCCTCTTGCCACAGCAGAGCTGTTTGCAGCAGGGAACATTCCCAGGTGCCTTCTCCAGACTGTGCAGCTTTAAGATATCTGTCTGTGACCAGATCTGCAGGCTGGAGCCAGCTGGGACCTAGTGATGCTCTTCACGTTACTCCGTGATTTCCCTTTCATGAGTCCTGATGTTTGTCTGCTCTTCTGACTGCAGCTGTCTCCCAAGTAGGAGTTTTAGGTGAGTGTCCTCTGCCCGTTGCAGCTAAATCAATAGAGACTGCTGCCTAGTGCCAAGTCAGGATTGCAAGAACAAGCAAAACCTTGCACGGCATGATGAATGGCTTGAGAAACAAATGGAGGTTTACTGGGTCCAGTGCTAGATCATACACCTTGTACACCCCATTCATGGACCTGGCACTGGCTGGTCAGGGACACACATCTGTACCACCCAGGAAACAAAACTCAGGGCCAGGTTGAGCCTGGGGCAAAGGGATGTGCATTTCTTGAATACTCTTAATCCAGCTGTGTCAGCTGCCAGGCTGGGAGCTGCTTCCTCAAGTTCTCCCAACACTGGTGAAGGGGATCTCCAGGTGCATGGGACTGGTCAGCCTTGGTAATATACTAGTGGGAGCCTGGCAGCAGTGCCAAGGTGAGCCTGAGCTCTGGTTAATTCTGTTAGCCAATTGTAGCACAAATGCTTCCACTTGAAGGCTGTGGGTCAAAGGCACCTTGGACCATACTTGCAGGCAAAGATGCTGAGGTGGCACTGATTTCAGATACCAGGGAGTTCAGCCAGAGATGACCAGGAGGAGGTTAAATATTTCCCCACAGGAAATCAACTCTTGGCCCCGAGCACAGTTCCCACAGCTACAGCTTCATGATCCTTGACTACAGAGAACACTCCCTTTTAGCTGACCTGCTGGGCACCTGCTGGCCTGGAGCAGCAGGATCTGTTACCCTCTGCTTTTGCCATGTCTCCTGATACTATGCAGAGCTTCCAGCCTGTCTGGCAAATTAGAGGGCTTGAAGGGATTGTTGGCTCCAGGATGTTGCGGAACCTAAAAGTGCAAACTGATTTGAAAAAGTGGGTAAACGAGGAGGAGCTGGGCATGTTAGCTGTATCAGTGACCATTAAACAGTGGTCTGGAGCAACATCTGGCTTCGCTCTGAGCTGCTGTGAGCTGGGAGGTGGACATAAACCAGGAGAAGGACTATTGTCTGCATGCCCCATTCCTTGCGCTTTTCTTGGGAGCTGTTGGCAGATGTGGGACACTGGGTTACAGAAACCTGAGGGCTTACATGAGCTTCCTCTCATCAGCAGTTGATGGAGGTTATCATATCCTCTCTGTCTGAAACCAAAGAGCGAACACATTGCAAATTCTCTCAGTGCACCCCCTGATAGTGTCTCTTCCTCCCACAGCATTTGGCAGAGCAATGGGGCTGCCTCGGCTTCCCTGCAGAGGTGCAGACAACAAAGAGGAGCTTGGTGGGGTCTCCTCTTCTGTGTTCCTCTTCTGCTTTTGATCAGCACTGACCACATCCTCATCCCACAGCAGGTGTCAGGGCCTTTGAGCCAGTGCTTGCTCTGCTTGGGACTTTCACTGGGCTGATGGAAGTCTGCCATGGGATCCAGCCTGCATCAGCACTTCTGAAAAATCAGAGTCTCATCAGTGCCTGAACCCAAAATTAGGAGCCGGACATTATAGGTCTATTTATACCAACCCAGATCTGCTGTCCAGACTGAGACCAGCTCTTCAGACTGAGAATTTGCATTTCAAATTTGTCTTTTAAAGTAAATCAGGCCTGCTGAAAATATAAAATTAAAGCAAAAACCATGCAGAAAGTATCCATGCCTTCCTTGGTGAATTGCCTCAGGGTACACATTTATTAAAGGCAGAAATACAGAATGGTGGAGATAACAAACCAGTCTCACCTGCCTGTGGTCCAATTCTGGTTGCACGAATAGGCTGATGGTTCGGGTTTCTGGGTGTCTCTGGCAGACATTAGTGCAAATGCAGAGATGCTGCAAAACAACTTTGCCTCTGCAGGCCTGGAGGAACAGCCTTTCTTAAACACCCTCTGCCAGGGGGGAGAAAAAAATGCTGCTTGTGACACTGCTCCTTGCCTTGACCATTTGCAGCAATAAATAAGGCTTGTGCATGCTCCATCCTGAGCAAGGAGTGAGCTCCAGTTTGCAGCCATGTCTCAGCCAGCTGTCATAACAGCTCAATGACAGGAAAGTCCAGACCATGGGCATTACATCTGGTCCTCCTAAGCTTTGCTGATGTGTGTTGCCTCTTCTGGTGGCCTCCTCTGATAAAAAGTAGCCTGGAACTACATTGTCCTGCTTCTCCTCTCCACTGTCTCTGGATGAACCATCTCTGGCCTCCCAGTTTCTGCGTCTGAGCTGCCGTTTACAGTCAGAAATGTTCACACCCAGCTTTATTCACACTCTAGTCAGCTGGCTTCTCTCTGCTGATGTATCTTGCAGAAGCTACTGGGCGGAGCCAGGCTACTTAGGAGCTTTGCTTTTTCCAATACATGACATTGGGTTGCTTGTTGGAGCTCGGGCTACCTTGCTGGGCCTAGCTGCAAAATCCTGCTCTCTTTTTTTCTGGGATTACTTGGATGAAATACAAAGTTCATTTTCACATGGTACAGTGAGAGACTGGTACATTGCATTTCACTTGTAGGGAAGAGACTTACTGGGATGAAATCCTCTAGGAGAGTACAAGAACATGTTTCTTTTTATGGCTAACCAACACAGGTGGGTAGAGGGGAGGGAAGACTTCCTGGGAAGGTCATGGGCTGCCCTCAGCGGTTAAAGAAGAAGGACTTGAGGCTCTGCAGAAACTGTGACTTCTGTCTCTGCTTCTGCTTCTTCCGAATGATGGGGATCCAGACAAGGCCACAAACAAGGAGCATCAGTCCCAAGGACAGGAAAGCCGGGCCACACATTTTGTAAATGTTTTTGTTCCTGATTTGGATGCAAGACAGGCTGGTGATGACCATCCCAAAGAGGAAGACGGCTGCTCCAACAGACACAACAATGACGGGCTTGTGGTATATGTCCCACTTGCTTCTTGATGCACTGGTCCAGACGGACTCACTCCGGGAGCTGATGCAGAGGGTGCTGGCCGTGTTACTGGTCAGTAGCTCCTTGGACTGAGGAGACTTCTCACTCCCATCAGGGCTCTTGGGGGGAACTTCCACGGTGACAGGATCTGAGGAGGAGACCTGAGATGGACGAAAGAGAAAGAGCAGAGCAGCGCTAGTGATGGAGGATGGATTGGGTGCTTTTCATTTGGTCATTAATTAGTGACAAGTCAAATGAAGGTGGAGAAGGCTTTGAGGGTCACTGCAGGGAGAGAAGAGCATCACGCCTATGAGAGCAATGAGATGTAGGAATAGGCAACAGGGTCCTGCAGGTAGGCTGGACTGAAGATGCCTGCAGAGTTCCACTGTCTCCCCCATGGACAGTGGGACTCCCGCAGTCCCTGTCCCTGTCCCTGTCCTGAGACCTTCCAGCTCCCCAGCTTCCAGCTCCCACAGGGATTCAGTGGTGGGGTGACTAGATGTCCATTAGCATCCACTACCCTGATCCTCCCAAGGCTCTTGGCTGCTCTCAGGGGGGTATCAGGGTGCTGCAAACAGGGCTGGTGATGCTGCCTGTGCGGAAGAGCTCTGTACCCCCAGAGCTGCTTTCCCTCCTCAGCACCTTGTGGCATGATCATCTCTCCCTCTTGTAGGTGGGGAAACTGGCACTGGTGTGCCATGTCAAGACTGCTCAGCGGGAGCACAGAAAGCATCCTTCCATGGACTGAGTGCTTCCTTCAGACCCCTGGGGCTGGATATTCCTCCTGCCACATCCAGCCTAGAGATGTCAGCCTTGTAGTAGCCGCAGCACAGGAGTTTCTCATTTCCTATCTAAGTGCACAGATGAGAGATGGGGAAATGCTTGTCATGCAGGAAATATTTCTCCAGCTGTAAGCTGGGGCAGGCTGCTGAGGAAAGGCTCTTAGGCTCAGTAGCAGGAGCATACCAAAACGCCCTGCCTTGTGATGGCTGGGTCAGCAGTGTGGCTTTTTGAGGCATTATTTTTTCACCAACTCAAGGAGAAAATACATTTTCCCAGAAACAAAGTGCCTTCAGCATGAAGAAACCATTATGGTAAATGGGAAGGGCTGAGCATTATGTTATCCACTATTTCCTCAGGGCTCAGATGAGGAGGCAAGGGCAGGAGGCTGGATCAGGGAGTGCTCCTGATGCACAGTCTGACCTGCTGCTGGGGAAGTCCAGCAGAAATGAACCCATGCAGGTATGAGGGCTGAAGAGGGCAGGAGAAGCCAGGAATGTGGATGCTTTGCACCCAGGAATCAGATTTTTTTGCAAAGCGAACTCATGCTTGAGCTGCCAGGTTTTCTCCCAGGGGTTCAGGAGTGTCAGGAGGGCTGGGACTGACCTGTCCTCTGCCAGGTGTTAACACTGTCCCCGCCCTTCAGGCATGGGGATGCTCTGCAGCAGGAGTGCAACAGCAGTACTGGCTTGGAGCAGCCCAGGACCCTGTATCACCCTTCTGCCAGCACCACAAAGCAGAGCCACTGGTGATTGCTGCCAGCCCCAAAGCTGTCCCTGTGGAGCCCCCCCATTCAGGGCAGCAGTCAAGCTCAAGTCACAACCATGCTGGCCTGGGCACAAGCTCTCGGTGGGGCTCAGATGGATGGGCAGTGCCACCAGAGCTCTGTGGTCCCTCCACTGCCAAGCACAGCTCTTCCTAAGCACTACACAAGCCTAAGTGGGCTTTGATCTGGAGCAGTTCATCTAAAACCCTGCTTTGGCCCTTGTTTGGCACACACAGCACCGTGGGCTGTGTGTTTTCTCAGTTCAGCCCTGGCTGCCCCCAGACCTACTGCTGGCCCGTGGGATGGCTCACCAGGAGGTGCACATCATGGGTGAAACTGGGCTGGATTTGCATACTGCATATGCCACAGGAAGGTCTGTGGCTGCAGCGGCCAGCAACAAGGTGTAGATGAGATGAGGATGAAGCCTGGTGGCCCCAGCTCGTTTCCCGTTGCTGCTAATCAATATGAGAGCATGTACCACATAAGTGCAGCTGCACAGAGGCTGCAAAACTGGCACAGCTTCAGAAGCACCCTCTTAAGGAAACCTGCTTGTATTTGAGCCATACTGGGCCCAGTGCCCATCTAGGGATGCTGATGTCTGGGTGCCAGCCAGCATCTCCCTTATTCTTTCACCTGTGTCCCCTGCCAAGTTTTGTGGTTTATTTTGAAAAGAGGCAGATGTAAGTTTTCAATGTAATCCCCCCAACACAGACACTGTTGCAGAAATGCAGATCTGGTGGTATTGACGTATTTTGTAATGTTCCAGGTTTGCCAAAATTGGACCAACAAGCAAAAAAAAAAAGGCAAGAGCAATGGACATGATTTACATCCCTCCCATCCACAGCTTTCACCCCTCTCTGGACAGATGGGGGCATTTCTGCCATCCTGATACATCTTTTACAGCACTTCATCAGGGATGATCAAGCACTTGACAAGGCAGGTAAGTTTGGTCATAGTAGCAAGCTAACCCTGTCTCTGCAAGCTGGACTGGTTGCAGTGGAGCATGCTGACCCCTTGGCTTTGCAGAAGCATGAGCTGCCATGAAATGTTGTTTTGATGGCTACAGCTGTGTTAGACATGCAGGTGATTGGGTACAGCTTTCTCTCCTTTCAGCTTCTGTGATGCAGCTTGCCTCACCATTCCTGTAAGTTGTGGCTCCAAGCAGCCACTGTATCCTCAGACAAAAAACAAATACTGACAGCAGTGTCCAGTGTTCTGGGGAGACAGTGAGGCTGGCTCTGCATGGGCCAAAACCTTCCACCTATACAACCTGCCCAGGAGTCAGCCCAGTCCTCCAAAAAAACCCCACCAACTGCAGTTTTGCAGAGATGTGTCCAGATCCTGGATAACTTCTTGCTTGGCTGGTGTGTGCAGCCTGTCCACCATCTCCCTTGCTCATAGCATTACTCTCTTCTAGCTCAAATGTTTTGCAAGCTCTTCCTGAAATTTCATCCTAGGTAGTCATGGCATTTCTTGCTTTTATCCTTGTAACATCCATTGTGGAGAGGTTTTATGATCAAGCCACTGTGTAATTTTAATTTGGCTTTGTGGTTGGAAATTTGCTTTCTTCTCTGGAATAATGCCCAGATCTCATATCTCAGCAGTCTAATGCAGTCTGCCCTGCCCCATCTTTCAGGCACCCCACTCCCTGCTTGCCTGTATTCTGCCACCCTCACTCTGCATCTGGGGGTACTCTGAACTCTGCAGAGCACCTTCCTCTTCATTTTGCAGAGCATTAATGGCAGGCTCCTACAGAAACCATCGTCTTCCTTTTAAAATCCCACCCATTTTATTTTCTGGCATAACCGTCCATCTCACCACAATTCCCAGACTGATCAATTTTCTGGCACTTCCTGGCAGAGCATGCTTTTTTTGGTCACACTTCTCTCCACATTTGGTCTTCTCTGATTTATATACTCTGCTTTGTATTTCTGTCTGTGCTTTTGCATGAGGCTCTGTATATTTTCCCCACTGTTATCTAGTGAAGGATTTCACTCCCTGCAAGTGGCTGGGAGTTTGTTTGTGAGCACTGCATGTATCTGCAGCTCTTGGGAGAGCTAATGTGATTTCAGTTCCTGCTCTGCTCATGCTCCTTCCCTAATTCACCACAGATGTGCTCATATTTGAAGATGCGATGGTTGTACTGGGCAGCCTGGCAGGATAATGCTATCAGATTTCTCCCAATTTTTTTTTAATCATTATTGTTGTAAGGAGAACATCAGCAGATGACTGTTTGCTGCCTTGAAAATGCCTCCAGAGCACATCTCGGATTTCATGTGTGGTGTTGTTCTGCTGCTGCCTCTGAAATCTTGGGCAGCTGTTGGCACTGGACCTAACACTGGGGTCTTTCTTTTCCCCCTCCATAAGGAAGAGCCTCATGTGATTCTATTTCTTCTCCCTTTGCTCTTCCAGTGCTTTGTGTGGTGATGTTTGGCTTCTGAGCTGGGAGATTCACTGACGCCCACCTGCTGGGGATATCAGTGGCAAAGCAGCACAGCACACACTTGGGTACCTCCTGGACCTTGGGGACATTACATGGTGGTGCTGAGGAGAGAGCTTTGGACTGAACAGAGCACCTAAGTGCTCTGCCCCAGGTCCCTCAGCCCATCCTGGCTGCAGATGGGGTTCCTCACCCACCGGCCCCCAGCAGCAGCAGATCTCAGGACTGGCATCCCAGCCCAGGACCTCGGATGCTGCAAATAACCTGCAGATGTGGCTAGAGTTGTCCTAAAAGTGGGGCAACAGCCCGATCTGAAGACCTTACTCCTAAGCACAGGCCTGTGTCCTCCTGGCCATGCAAGGGCTGGATTTACTCTCCCAATCCAGTCCTCAGCCTGGGCATGTCCTTTTTATTTGGCGAGGCAGCCCTGATTCTTCAGGAGCTTCTTACATGCTCCTCTTAAGTCCTCACTGCAAGCAGTTTCTGCCACTTCTTCCTCCCACTTTGCATGGCTGGGGGCACAGGAGCTTCCCCAGCTCAGACAGTCTCACCCCAGGGATTGGTGTCCATCTCCTTCTGGCTCTTCCTCATGAAGACCCCTCTCAGCATCCCAGAATGAAGCTGGTCTTTGCCCTAGGACTAAGTAGGTGCCATCCCATGGGAGTACCGGTGGTACAGGTGAGCGTGGACCTGCCCCGGGTACAGAGCCATGGGTATTGATGGTGGTGTTGCCGTGTGCAGGGCAGTGCAGAGAGGCTGCAACACTTGGGGTCTCTGCCCTGTGTTTTACCACACAAATCACTGGGGAAAAAGCTAAGGATTTTGCAAACCAACAGCCAAATATTGCTGGAAATCCAGGCCAAGTTTATGGATATATTTTTCCTTCCTCTCTGCTGTCAAGCCACCTCCCTGAAGAAAGCTCTGCAACTTCCAGGGGTGGGACAGGCAGCAGCAGAAGCTCCTGCTCTCCTAAGCCAGGTTCACTTCCAGCCCCACATCCCTCTGGGAATCAACCATCATGGAAAATAAACTTCTGAGGAAAAGGCAAAGTGAACCCTACACTCCATGGATGTGGCTTGTTCTGGTTTACACCGTGGGGAAGCAAAAACACCAGCCTGGCTCGAGGGTCAGGCCTGGACAGGCTTTTCCTGAGGGCTCAGACTCTGCCAGCCATC